GGACTTCAGGTCTCACAGCTCGGACCCCTCTTAGTTGGCCTGGGCACACACCACATGCAGATTTTGGTGCCTTTCCAACCTTCTTGGTATAAAGGTAAACAATTCTGTTACCAGGAGTTCGGGACAGCCTAGTTTTGTTAGAGGCTGTGTTGTAGGACAGCCTACGACGGTAGGTCAGACGCTGGACCATTTTGAATGCCTCTACACAGCGTCTCCAGAAGAGAATACAAATATTTTTAAAAATAATATTTTTATTGGTTTGCATACATTCATAGACATTGTGTTTCACTCATGTGCATTGTGTTTCATACAATCACTCATATAAATTGTTTGGGAGGTTGTGTATAATTCACATTATTCTTTATTCACATTGTGTTTCATGCTGTTGTTCCCATTCATTAGTTTTTATAAAATTAATCACCATTGGACTATGCCCATCATTACTCTGTCTTTTCAGGTTCCCCCTGGATCTTTCCCAGTTTCTCTCCACCTACTATATTGTGCAATCCTGTGATTTCGCCCCTACCCATCCTCATTCCTGCTCAAAACTTTCCGTTAGCTTCCCAACACCCTTGAAATAAAATACAAAGTTCTTACTACAGCCTTCAAGGTCTTACAGCAGGGATCACTAAAACACAGCTCAGAAATCAAATCCCACAGGCTGCCTGTTTTTGTGAATAAAGTTTTGTTGGGACACAGCCACCCCCATTCATTTACTATTTCTTATAGCTAGCTGCTTTTGAACTCTAAACAGTATAGCTGACAGGTTGGGACAGATTGGCATAAAAGCTAGAAATATTTACTCTCTGAAATTTTCTAGAAAGTTTCACTGACCCCAGTCTACGTACTTTAAGTCCTGGTTCTCTCTGACCCCTTGTCGTTCCACTACCTCTTTCCAAACCCTCCACCTCCCACACCGATGTCTTGCTGTTCTTAAACACACTTCCTCCTCAGCTCCTCTGCCAACTACACCTCTCTCTTGGTGCTGTTGCACAGAGAAATGTTGTTATTATGTGCCATTAAGTCACCTTTGACTCATAGCAACCCCTATGTACAATAGCCCTAAACCCTGCTCTATCCTGTGCTGATCTGACACCATTGCCCCAGTCATTGAATCAATCCAGCTCATTGAAGGTCTTTCTCTCTTGCAGTGTCCTTCCACCCTCCCAAGTATGACATCCTTCTCCAAGGACTGGTCCCACCTTGCAACATGTTCATAGTAAGTCAGATAAAGTTTCAGAATCCTTGCCTCCAAGGAATAGCCTGGTCTCACCCTTTGTCAGACAAACCTATTTGTTTTCCTGGCAGTCCATGCTATATTCAATATTCTTCTCCAGCATCACAGCTCAAAGATATCAATTCTCCTATCATCCCTAGTCATTGTCCAGCTCTCTAATGCATATCAAGTAATTGCAATGACTATGGCCTGGATCAGGCACACCTTAGTCTCCAGACTGACATTACTGCTCTTCAGTACTTTGGAGAGGTTTCTGACAGCAGACTTTCCCAATGCAATTTATCTTTTAATTTCTTGGCTGCTGGTGCCAAGAATGTTAATTGTGGAGCCAAGAAAACTAAAGCTGTCTACAATCTCAGTGTCTTCATCATCTATCATGATGCTGCCAATCAGCCCAGTGGTGGTAATATTTGTTTTCTTGATGTTGAGCTTCAATTCATACTGAAGGTTGTCGTCTTTGACCTTCTGCAGCAAACATTTCAAGTCCTTCTCAGTTTCGGCAAGCAGGGTTGTGTCATCTGCATAATGCAGATTGTTGATGAGTCTACCTCCAAGCCTGATGCCCCACTTCTTCTCATAGAGCCCATATGGAGATAGGGCACATCCTTGGCACACACCCTTCACAATTTTGAAACATGCAGTGTTCCCTTGCTTGGTTCTGATGATTGTCTCCTGGTCCAAGTATAAATTTCACAGAAGAACAATCAAATGTTCTGGGATTCCTATTTTTCTTACTGTCGGCCACAGTTTGTTGTGATCCACACAGTCAAATGCCTTTGAATAGTCAATGAAACACTGATAGACATTCCTCTCTCCCTGCTTTCTGCCAAGATCCATCTAACATTAGCTATAATATCCCTAGTACCACAGGCTCTTCTAAACCCAGCCTGCACTTCGGGCAGTTCTCTGCTGATGTGCTGTTCCAGTCATTTTTGGATAATCTTGAGCAGAATCTTGCTTGCATGTGATAATAATGATAGTATTCAATAAATTCCACACTATTTTCAGGTTTACACTCCAGTAAAAAGGCTACGACCATCTTAATTGAAAGAAGCTCCCCACTCCTGTATATCCCCTCATCTACTCTAAATTTCATGACATAATTTGACTTTCATTTATCCTTTCTTTTTTTTATTTTATTTTATTAAATTTTATTAGTTTTAATGAACATTTACAGGGATTTTGGGTTTTCATTCCTTCATTGCTGCACCATTCTCTCTACCCTCCTCCCCAGTTTGTTCTTCTTCCCCGCCATCCGAATGTCTGTTTTAATTGTCCAATTGCCACAGTGCTTGTCAAAGTCAGTTCTGATTAATCTCCTTTGTCGGTGTGTCCTTTGCCATTCCCTATCACTCCTCCCTGAGAGAGACTTCACCCTGAGTCATAAGGAAAAGGGGATGGCGTATTCTCTTAGCTACTTCCTGCTGAAAAGGGACGCTGTGGGTTTCAGGGTGAAGATCTTCTCTCACTACTCTAAAGGGCCCCTTTGGCAGTAGGAAACACATAGACTATTATGGAGATTGATTTTGGAATTTAGATGCACTGTTATTAATTGTGCTTAGCCGTACATGTTCATATCCCTGAAGATGTATCATGGGGGGGTTGCAACCTAGAAGACACAAATTTAACTAACAAGTTATAAGTACATGAGTCAAAAATTATGGAAAAGTAAAAGAAAAGATTCTTTCATTGTTTTACAAACCCTCCTCCAGGTCCCCTCCACCATGTAGCCCTCGCTCTAGACTCCTGTGATGACAGAAATACCTAGTCACATATCTCTTTTACACAGTTTTCTCCCTCCTCTGTTTCAGTGCAGTATACATTATTGAACACATCTTATTCAATCTCTCCCCAACCCTGGGGTTAGTCCCATTCTACAACAGTGGCATCATGTAATATTTGTCCTTTTGTGACTGGGATATTTCACTCAGCATAATGTTCTCCAGAGTCAACCATTTTGAATAATATTGCATGAGTTCCTTGTTTTTTAATGCAGCATAGTATTCCATTGTGCGAATATGCCACAGCTTCTCTAGCCATTCATTTGTTGATGGGCACTTAGGTTGTTTCCAACTCCTTGCTATTGTGAACAAAGCTGCAATAAACATGGGAGTGCATATATCTGCTTGGATGTCAGCTATGGTCTCTTCAGGGTATATTCCCAGGAGTGGAATTGCTGGGTCAAATGGTATCTCTATTTGCAACTTTTTGAGAAAGCGCCATACTGCTTTCCACAGGGGTTGCACCATTTTACACTCCCACCAACAGTGAATCAGGGTTCCAGTTTCTCCACAACCTCGCCAGCATTTGTTGCTTGCTGTTCTGTTAAATTTTGCTATTTTGACTGGGGTGAAATGATATCTCATAGTTGTTTTAATTTGCATCTCTCTTAGGGCTAGGGATTTTGAGCATTTCTTCATGTGCTTGTTAGCCATCTGAATGGCGTCTTCGGTGAAGTGCCTGTTCATATCCTGTGCCCATTTTTCTATTGGATTATTTACCTTTATCTTGTTGTGGTGCTCAAGTATTTCATAAATTCTGGATATAAGTCCCTTATCTGATATGTTATTACTGAATACTTTTTCCCAGTCAGTGGCTTCCCTTTTTACCCTATTGGAGAAGTTTTTGGATGTGCATAGGGATTTGAGTCTTAGAAGATCCCATTCATCTATGTTATCTTCTCCTGGTTGTAGGTTCATTTATCCTTTCTGTTTCTCTCCCTCTTCCATCCTCTCTCCCTCCCTTTCTCCTCCCTGAGTCCTCACCTTCCTGCCTCTTTCCCTCTTTTACGGTCTTTCTATCCTTCTTTGCTTCTTATCAGCCTTCCTTTCCTCTCACTCTCTCCCCTTTCTTCCTTTCTTCTGCCTTCCTTTATTCCTGTGAATCCCTAGCCTCCATCCACCCCAGAACATATGTTTAACCTGATTATAGCTGTGTGGCTCATAGGTGAATGTATGCCAGCACATAGTACAAAACTCAGAAACTCACTGCCATCAAGAGTGGAACCTAGACAATAGCTGAGCCTCCTTTGGGCTTCTGAAGTAAATCATATGGAAGGAGCTTTGCTCATCTTTCTCCTGCTGAGCCACAGATGGATTTGAACCACAGAAGAGGTGCAGCTCTGGGTTAGCAGCACTACTGATGACGCCATATGAAAACACACAGTACAAGTTCACTTGAACTTTGTTAAAAGAATGACTGTATGTGTGAACGACTCTTTTCTTCCTATCTGATTCTATCACCTCATTTCTCTGTAATTGTAGATATTTTGGAACTCTTGATCTCTCTTGCCTTTATTCTCAAGTATTCTACATACACTCTTCTCTCTGAACAGCTTACGAAGACTTCTTCTGCCTTGACTTTTTCTTTCTCTACCTTTTCAGCCTTCTTTTGCCAAAAACAAGAACACAAAAGACAAAGACACCTGTTAAGAGCAACGGATTTATTCAAGAAAATAATTGATGTTAAAGTTTTCTCCTCCCCACCAAAAAAGCAGTTTCATTTTATGCTGTTTTAATGTCCTGGAGTTCATTTCTGCTTCAGTTCCATTGACATTGACATTGACATTGTAGGGTAAAAGCTCATTGTAAGCAGTCAGTCTCTCTTATATTGGGAAGAGACTGCTGGTGGCCTGTGAAGACTGCTCTGATGTGTGAGCTTTACACAACTGAGCTTTGAACTTTGACTGGCTCTGTTTGCAGATCTTGATGGGCTGTGTCCTGCTGTGTGACTGGTGAGCAGGCTACCCGCTTCTTGAATTAGGATGGCGGCCTGCTGTCTGGTTCTCCGAGCTCTTTTCCTTGTCCTCTTACTTCATCAGACAGAGCAGTCAGGTAGGTGTCTGGCTTAAATTATTTCTGCCTCTTTAAATGGAGCCATGGGTGGTGCAAAAGGTACCAAAGTAGGGAAAGTTTAAATTCACCCAGAGGTGTCCCGGAATTAAAGGCCTGGAAATCTACTTCCAAAAACCCACCAGTTGAAATCCCTGTGGAGCACAGGTCTATGGGGACACACACAGGGTTGGCGTAAGTCAGGAGCAACTTGTCAGCAAATGCTGTTTGTTTGGTTTGAGTTTTTAGTCCTTTTGAAACCATCATGAGTGGATTTGGCAGCTGATAGTTTCCCAAGAGCCAAAGGAGTGAGGAAGTACCTGACTGACCAATTCTCAAGTCATAATTGTCTTAGTGAAGAAGATCAAAGACTTTAATAATCATTACATCTCAACATCAAGAAAGAAAAAATTCTCAGCAATAGGCAGCATCATGATGGAAAAAAGATTAAAGTTATCAATGACTTCACTTTACTTGGATCCACAATACCTAAGGAAGCCACAGTCAAGAAATCAAAAGACACCCTGCATTGGAAAAAATCTGATGTCAAGGATCTCTCCAAAGTGCTAAAGAGCAAGGATGTCAATTTAAAGGCTAAGGTGTGCCTACCCCAACGCATAATATTTCCACTTGTTTCACATGGATCTATCTGAAAATTGGACAATGAGTAAGGAAGACCAAAGAGGAATCAATGCCTTTGAATTGTGGTGGTGAAAAAAAGAGTGTTGACTATCCTATGGACTGCCAAAAGAGCAAATAAGTCAGGCTTCATGGAAACACAACCAGGGTTCCCCTCAGAGGCAAGGGAAATTAAACTTCTTACCACATTCTTTGAACATGTTTTCAGGAGGGACCCTTTTTGGGGGAAAAAACTCCAGGCTGGGAAAGTCAGAGAGTTAGAAGAAAAGAGAAAGACCCTCAATAAGATGGATTGACCCAGTGACTGTGACAATGGCTTTGCAGAGATTGAAATGATGAAGCAGGATAGGAGATTGCTCAGATTTGCTGTCCATAGAGTTACTGTGGGTCATAGTCAACTCGACAGCAACGAATAGTAACTATTCTCTCTTCTGAAAGAATTCTCGCTTGACGCCTTTAATCTTTGGTGACAACTATGTTGAAGATGATTGTTGTTGTTAGGTGGTGTCGAGTTGAATCATAGTGACCCTATGAACACCCAACTTGAATCCTGTCCTATCCTGCACCATCCTCATCATCTCTGATACTCTTGAGCCCAATGTTGCAGTCACCATGTCAACCCACCTCGTTAGGTGTCTTTCTCTCTTTCACCAACTCTCGACCTTCCCAAGTATCTCTTTCCAAAAAAATGCCCTCTTCTAACAACATGCCCAAAATATGTGAGCCAAAGCCTCAATATCCTTACCTCTAAGGAGTCCTCTGGCTGCACTATTCCCCAAACGTATTTGTTCAGGTTTTTTGTAATTTATGGGATATTCAGTTAGTGCTGTTCTCCAACATCACAATTCAAAGGCATCAATTCTTCTTCTGTCATCCTTAGACATTGTCCCACTCTCAGATGCATAGCAAGTTATTGAAAAGATCATAGTCTGAATCAGGCACACCTTAGTCTTTAAAATGAGATCATGCTCTTAAGTATTTTAGAGAGGTCCCTGATAGCAGACTTGCCCAAAGCAATACATCTCCTGATCTCCTAACTGTTTGTATTAAGAGTGTTGATTGTGAATCCAAGTAAGATGAAATAATTGACAATTTCAATTCTTTCTCTATCTATAACCAGTGGAAAGGACCTTTGTTTTCTTGATGTAGAGATGTGATTCATACTGAAGATAAATTTTAAACTTTGTGGGGATAAAAGAAGGCAGCCCTCCCACAGGCGAATCAGCAGCATCAATGATCCACCTGAGCCACTATCTGGTCCAAATACCCACATCCAGGACCCCATCCTGCCACACTGCCATGGACAGACCTCAGATGGGGCTAGAAAAGTGTGTTCTGTGCCATGATATTTGAATGTTTGTCTTTACAATTTATTGTTGGGGGTACAATACGTGTCTGTCATTAGGAGCATGCAAATCAATCTCCGATATAATGAATATGAAGTGCTACAACTATAGCTTGTCTGCCTTCTAACCACCTCACAGCAAATGGCCACCATGACCAACTGCAAATCATACCCCTGCTAAGCTACCAAGATCCCTGGTGGCATCAGTGGAAGGTTTGGACCCTCCCAAAGCCTCTCCTAGGGATATCTGGTGGCGTAGTCCATGGGGAGATGCATGCTCACCCAAAGACCACTACTCTCTGGCAGTTTAAATCCACCAGTCACTGTACAGTGCATCGATTTACCTGCTGGAAGATCAACTATGAGTCGATCCCAATAAGAGTGGAGTGGCTACTCTGGGGGGAAAGACCTGGCAATCTGCTCTCATCTAGATTATACAGCCTGGGAAACCTTATGGGGCAGTTCTACTCTGTCACATGGAGTAGCTGTGACTTAAAATCCTCAATAGCACCCAACGGCAACAGTTATCAGTAGTCCCATTTCTGATAGAGATTTTTGTTTGCCCATCTCCTAATAAGAGTGATCTTCTACTAAGTATTTAGAGGTATTGCCTTCAAATAGCAGCCCACCATCATATTTCCCAGACAGCAAATCTTTTTTTTAATTGAGATTTTAATGAAAGTTTAGAGAAAACATGGATTTCAATTCATTCATTGCTACACATTTTACTCCCTGCCCACCTCTCCACCCCAATTCACTTTTCTCTTTGGAAAAAAAAAAATCTTTCATTGTCACTATACAGCTCTTATTTTGGACTGTTGTCATGCAAATAATACCTAATCATATATTCCGTTTAAGTAGTTCTATCCTTCATCTGTTTCATTGCAGTGTACATCATTTATCCCCTCTTTTCTTAGTTGCTCCCCAAACTTGATGTCAGTCCTGTTTTATAACAGTAGCATTATGCAGTATTTGTCCTTTTGTGACTGAGATATTTCGCTCAGCATAATGTCCTGCAGGGTCACCGATTTTGTATATCATTTCATGAGTTCCTTATTTTTCAGTGTTGCAGAGTATTCCATAGCTTCTCTATCCATTTGTTGATGGGCACTTGGGTTGTTTCCATCTTTTTGCTATTGTAAACAGCACAGCAATAAACATGGGTGTGCATATATCTGCTTGGGTGGCAGTTATGATCTCTTTGGGGTATATTCCCAGTAGGGGAATTACTGGGTCAAATGGTATTTCTCTTTTCAACTTTTTGAGAAAATGCTATATCGCCTTCCAGAGTGGTTGCACCATTTTACACTCCCACCAGGGTCCCATTTTCTCCACCACCTCACCAGCATTTGTTGTTTGCTGTTCTCTTGAATTTTGCTATTGTTACTGGGGTGAGATGATATTTCATAGTTGTTTTGACTTGCATCTCTCTTAGAGCTAGGGATTTTGAACATTTCTTCATGTGCTTGTTGGCCATCTGAATGCCTTCTTTGGTGAAGTGCCTGTTCATACCCTGTGCCCATTTTATTTACCTTTATCTTGTGGTGCTTGAGTATTCTAGAAATTATAGATGTAAGTCCCTTATCAGACATGTCATTACCAAATAGTCTTTCCCAGTCTCTGGCTTTCCTTTTTACCCTATTGGAGAAGTTTTTTGATGTCCATAAGGATTTTATTCTTAGATGGTCCCATTAACTTTTCATATTAGGGCTTCTAGAGTTCTTAAGCTTTTCTCTGATAAAATTTATAGTCCTTGGTTTTAGACCTAGGTTCTTGATCCATTTTGAGTGGGTTTTTTTCAGACAATAAATTTTTTTAATTTTATTTCATTATTTTTTGTGTGTACCGTCAAATCAGATCTGACTGGTACAGGAGGAGATTGTTCCTCCTTCTCCAGCAGAGCATCTGGTGGATTGGAACCATGCATCTCTAAGATTGCAGTTGCAGCCTCTTGCCACTAGGCTACCAGAGCTCGCCAGACAGTAAATTTTTTTAAAAATGTATTTCTTTA